GCACGCCGCGCTGCAGGCGCACGATGCACACCACGCGCTCCAGGCTGACGGCCGCCAGCGTGAGGATGGTGACGCTGCCGCTCAGGCTCATCACGTAGAAGAGCAGGTGGCAGGCGGCCGGGCCCAGCAGCCAGGCCTCGGTCCAGCGCACGGCCAGCACGAGCGGGATGGCGCTGGTGAAGAGCAGGTCGGCGCAGAAAAGGTTGAGCACCAGGCAGGCGGTGGCGCCGCGGCGCCGTCGGCGCGCCACCAGCACCAGGGCGCCCACATTGCCCAGCAGCGACACCGCAAAGATGAGCGCCAGCACGACGGTCTCCACGGAGCTCAGCACCAGCCGGTGGTCGCCCTTGACCTCGGAGAAGAAGGAGAAGCGGGTTCGGTTGTCCCGCTCCAGGATGCGCGGGGGCCCGGCGCCCTCGGCCTGCGCGCAGTCAGGGGACATGCCGGGCGGCCGGCGGCCCGCAGCTGTCTGCGAGCGCGCTCATCCGGGAGGGGACTGAGCGCCGAGGCCGGGAAGGGGGAGGGAGGCGGTTGCGACACCTCCCCTNGCCCGGCTGCGCCCGGGCAGCGGGCTCGCTCCCGCAGGCAGGTCCGGGCCCCGCGAGGCCCCGCCTAGAGGGCCCTCAGAACCCCCGAGGGCCTCTTCCCGTGGCACCCGCAGTGCTGAAGCCTTCACGCCACCTATTTGGCTAAACTTGGTTTTAGGAGTGTCGGAGCGGGACTTGGGAGATCATTTTGGCCTCCGCTGTTCAGGCTTCGCCAGGGAAGCGCCACAGGTCTGGAGATAAATCCCAAAGCACCTTGCAATGGGACCTAGATTTGGGGGCGGGGGGCGATAGGGAGAGAATCTTTTATCATTGCTTAACAACATGTGACTTTGGGGGTATTGTTTCATCTCCCTGCGCCCCAAGTTTTTAAATCTATAAAATGGGAATAATAAGGCATCTCATTGGGTAATTATGAGGCTCATATAAAGAGATTAACAGAACACTTGACACACAGTACTTGCCTGTGAAGTGTCATCAATTATTAGTTACTGTAATTAAAATGCAATGTAAATTTTGCATTCTGAGCAACGATATAAAATGCCTTCGTGTAAGAAAAGTGATCTTAAGTAAACGTGACACCCCAGGAGAACATTCCAAGGCTTTCAGGTGCACACACTGGGTGGGAATGTGCCTCAGGCGCCCCAGTTTGACAAGCAATGGGAAATCAAACCCCCTTAGAGATGCGGAAATTAAGGCACAGGAGGAAGTGACTTGTCCAAGGAGGCCCCTGGTTAGTAATAAAGAGCCATGGCCCCTGCCCCTGCCCCTGCCCCACCTATTTCCACCACACCTAGGCTGTCTGGTTTTCTGTTACAGTAAGTTAAGTGGTTAGAGAATGTAAAGTGTGCTTGTGGCCCTAGCCATGCTGCCCACTTCCTCGCCACCCAAGCCATCACCCCCCCTCCCCTTCGCCACCCTGCCCGGCCTCTTCCACTCGCCCATCCTGTCTTGTGATTGTCTCTGTGTATTTATGAAGGGTCCGGTGTAGCAGTCTCAGTGCTTTCTGGGGGGAAGGGTGCATTTGTGTGTCTGCTTATTACCATGTCACATGGGTCTGAGTTGACAATGTGACCCCTAACCTGAGGGGTAGATTGCATGTCATTGGGAGATGCTCAACTTGAACCTTGACTAAGTTCAAGTTGTAAAACAGCCACTTTACTTCCTGACACAGTTGAACTGGGGCAAGAGATTGAAATAAAGGGAACTCAGATGGAAAGTGACATTGTCTGATTGGGGTCAGAGGACAATAGTTTTGCGTGAGGGAAAGAAAAGCTGTGTGTATGTCGGGAAGGGGGCGGGGATTCCATTATCCCAGGCAGATGTACCATCTGGACAGAAAAGTTTCCCCAGAATGGACAACCAGGGTGAGGTCTCTGGGCTAGAAGGACTTCTCCATCACTACCCTCCAGGGTTCTTCCAAAGGCAAAAGGGTGAATGCAGAAGTTCCCAAACTTTCTCCTTTCCATCACCTTCATGGCACCCCTAGGCCAAAAAACAAAACAAAACACCGACAGTTCCATTTGTTAAGCCTCTGGGTCCAGATGACTTAATAAGACTTTATGTCCTAACAGCTTAGTAGCCATCAGGGGAAACAGTAAATATGAATTGAAAAATAAAATTTTTGTTTCATTCTTAAATAACCACAGTGACTTCCTAATAGGATGGTGCACATATTGAGCTCTACGAAACTGGGAAGCAGATTGAGTACTGCATATTGATTTTCATGTATCTGCTTTTTATCACAATGAACCCTGAAATCCCAGCTTTGTAAGTGGGTTTAGTGTTGAAACCGCGAGTGACCTAGCGCTAGTAGTTCATGTGGAGTCCCACGGATATTGAGTAGCGCTGTATTTCCCTGGGCACCAAGCACACATGGTTAAGAATACGGGCTTGGAAACTCACCTGCCAGGATACGAATCCTGGCTATACAACTCACCATGTGACCTTGGGCAAGTCACTTTAGCTTCTAGTTCTTTAGTCTTTCCATGTTTAGAAAGGATGTAATAATAATACCGACATCACAAGGTTTTGGGGGTGGGAATTAAATGAAGTTCTTGCATGTAAAGCATGTAGCACAATAGTCATAGAGCGGACACCAGGTCAGGCTCGCTGCTCAACACGGTAGAGCCTTATGAACCAACCACACGTGCCCATTAGCAGAGACAGTCTCAGGTTATAAAATTATTATCAGAACCCTCTTTCACTCTCTAATTGCCCTGGTTTGGAGCATAATTATATGGTCAGACTCTATTTATTAACTCATTCAGTGCTCCTACAGGTTATAGGCACTGAGATTCATATCTAGGCAGTCACACTCCAGCGTCCTTGCTCTCAACCACCGGAGCAGTGCTTCTTGGGGAGATTTTGTGCACACATACAAACACACACACACTGCAGAGATATTTGGTAGTATCTGGAGACATTTTTGGTTGTCACAACTGGGGAGTTGTTACTGGCATCCAGTGGGTAGGGCAGAGGCTAGGGCTGATGCTGAACCTCCTACATGCACAGGAGAGCCCCCAGACAAAGAATTGTCCAGCCCAAAATGCCGATAGGGCTGAAGTTGAGAAATCTTGTATTAGAGGCTATGATCTCTTGGGACTTCCACAGACTTTACCTCTTACTGTCGTTCTCTGTTGTAAAGTCCCACCAAGTGGCAAAAGCCAAAAATGTTATTTTCCTGGTGGGGTTACACTAAAAACTCTCTAACCCCTTTAACCAACCTACAGTGAGGCTCGGTGCATGCTGTGACCCCAGGCGTGCACAGCTGTCAAATCCCCTTGGTCCATGGGGCCGAGCATGGAGTCATCAGGGTAGACGGACTCAGGTGTTCTTCAGAGACAAGAAGGCAGGAAACTGCTTGCTGAGCCCTAGTGAATGTTGTCTATATTGCTTGTGGTCATTAATTACTATTATTATCAGGCTCATTTGCCTCTTTACACTTAGATAAAATGTTAAAATGGAGACAAGGATCCACCAAGTGTAAATATAGACAGTCTAGTTCTGAGCTAAAGGGAAGGCCTCATGGAGGAATGATTACTATTCTTTTTATTTTATATTTATTTTTAACCAAACAGGAGGGGGCTTTTTCTGTGTCTGTAGTTTTTTTATTTTTCCTCTGGAAAATTTTTTAAAGTTTGTGTGCAAATGCTTACTGTCCTATTTCTTCGTCTTCAAACCTCTTTGTGAGTAGTCTATCTTCTATCATTTATCTGTCTATCTATCCATCTATCATCTATCTATTATCTGTCTATCTATCTATCTATCTATCTATCCATCTATCTATCTATCTATCTATCTATCTATGTATCTTGGATTTGAGACATAAGTCCTTGCAGAGGTCAGAGTATCTCCTTGCACAATTAGCATCTATTCTAGAGGAGAATGCAAAGAGTGCTCATCCCTGTGTAATGATTTGCAGCCTCCCTCCTGCCTCTGCACCTCTGCTCTATCTTGTCAAGGAGGGTCCCCACCACACCCCTGGCCCAGTTGCCCTGAGCGTTCACAGTCAAGTAACCCCTTCAGCCAGGCCAGTGAGGCGAAGGACGCCAATTTGTACTCTGAGAAGCTCCTTCTTCAGGGAAGCCCAAGAGTTCCCAGGTAGACAAGGCACTGAGTGCAGTTCCGGCACCTGCAGAAGTGGGGAGGCCTGAGAGAGCCTGGGGAAGGGCAAGTGCTTCCGAATGCCTCAGGCCTGCCATCTCCACGGCAGACCTATCAGCCAAAAGAAAGAAGTCCAAGTACAAACTGGGAAATGAAAAAGCTAAACCCAAGTGGAACATGTGATCAGCCACCTGATTGTGAAGTATTCACACAGGAGCGGCCCATGGCAGGGATCTTCAAATGAGACGGGGCGGCCCGGCCACAGCCAGTGTTTGCAATGCTTTACATGCATTAGCGGAAGTGCCTGCCCTGGGCAGTTAGGAAAAGGAGTCCTTCCCCAGGGTGGGTGCTGCTTAGACTCTGGGCTTGGCAGCAGGGCCTGGCCAGGCTTCAGCCCCATGCGGTCCCTCAGGCGGGTGTCCTTTGCAGGACCTGCCACCTGCTGCATGGGTTGTGGGCTTGTGGCAGCAGGGGTCTGTCTCACTGGCTCTTCTGCCCACTTGTTGGTGGTTTCTGCCCTCAAAGCCCAACCCCCATGCCCTATCACATGGGGGGGGGGCGGCACGCCGACTGGGCAAGAGTGTGTCCCCAAGCCAATCACTTGCCTGGGGAATTTCCTCAGCCCACTGTGGCGGGTGTGTTGTCTGAGATGAAGAGAGGAGAGCAAGGGTCAGCCTTGTAGCAACTAAGAGGACTCCGATGTACAAATCGGGGCTGACGCTCACTCTGATGGCCAGGCCTGACTGCCTGGGTTGGAGTCCTGGTGTGAATAAATCTGGTTTCCTGAAGCAGATAAAGGGGGTGGGCCAGGCCTAAAAAAGCCCCTGCTCCCTTGAGGGGGCCTTAAGAACCAATCATTTAAGGAAAGATCAGCCCCCACCTCTGAGAAGGAACATTGAGGAGCAGGAGGACTGGCCGGGTAGGGGATACTACTACTACTACTAATAATAATAATGGAAATCAAATACATGGTAATTACCATATTCCAGGCTCTGTTTTAAGCACTTACTTGCATTAACTCATTTAATCTTCATAACAATCCTGTGAGGTAGGGCGGTGGTTATAAAAGAAAGCTGCTAACTCTTTGACACGCCTGCCTTCAACATCTGGAGCCTAATCCATGTCTCCTTGCTTGAGGGCTGGACTCACTTGCCTTTTATAAGCGAATATAGCAGAAAAGATGTGATGTGACATCAGGAGCCAGGTTATACACAGGATCTAGCTTCTGCCTGGCTCTCTCTCTGGTATACTTGCTCCAGGGGGAGGTAACCACCCTGTTGTGAGGACTCCC